TATTTTAAAATTGTCGCAAAGGCGCAAGATTTAATAGTGCGTCATGAAAATAGTGAACACGTCAATAGTGAGCGCGCACTAAGTTGCAGTAGTTCACAACGCAACAATAATATCGTAAAGCTGCCTACCATACAACTACCTAAATTTAGTGGCTCATATGATAATTGGCTTGAGTTTAGAGACACTTTTTCTAGTTTAATACACTCGAACGATAGTATAGACAACATAAATAAGTTTCATTATCTCCGTGCGTCGCTCGAAGGGACGGCCGCTATTGTTATTCAATCTATTGAATTTTCAGCCGGTAATTACTTAATTGCTTGGAATTTGTTATGCGACCGGTTTGATAACAAAAGGCTATTGATACAGAATCATGTTGCTGCTATATTTAACATTGAGACAATTTCTAAAGAGTCGACATTTATTTTAAAGCATACAATTGATACGATAAATAAAAATATTAGATCTTTAGAATCGTTAGGAGAACCTGTAAGTTATTGGGATACGTTATTAATATACATAATTAGTCATAAATTAGATTCGAAAACGTATCGTGAGTGGGAGGAGTACAAAGGTAGGTTGGACTGTGATACTGCTATTTCATTTAAATTTTTTTGCTAACATTTTTACGAAACCGTGCAGACTTGTTAGAAACTTTAGAGTTATCTCGCTGTTCTCAACCTACACAAAAAAGGACAAGTAATATTAAGAGTATGGTGTCGATTGCACAAAGTCCAAAAATTCAAGGTCATGAGAAGACTTCGTTACAGCTATGTCCTAATTGTAAATGCGAACACAAATTATTTAATTGCGCTAAGTTTTTAGAACTTACATGCGAACAGCGTTTGGAACTTTTGCCCAAATTAAAAGTTTGTTTTAATTGTTTGCGATCTGGTCACTATGCAAACAATTGCAGATCTAACGGTTGCAAAATATGCAAAAAGCGACATAATGTTTTAATTCACATTCCAGATCTGACGTATAAGTCAACAGCTAATGTATGTTCTAATACTGAGGACCGCTTCGCACATTCTTCCGCAACCCCGACACTATGCAGTGACGAGCCCTCCGGTAATGTCACGTTGTCTGCCCAACTTCCTACCTATTTACCCAACAGAACACAGGTACTCTTAGCCACTTCCCTTATAAAAATTGTCGACAACCGCGGCGGTGAGCGCATCGCCCGCGCAGTCCTCGATAGCGGCAGCACTTCATGCCTTATTAGTGAACGATTGAAACAATCGTTAAATTTACCTACAGTTAAGGTAAACGAGTCACTATTGGGTATAAATAATTCAAAATCGCATATAGGCGAAATGTGTTGTTTACCCATTAAATCTTTAAATGAAAACTTTTCGACAAAGATTTTCTGTTTTGTTTTGCCGAATATTACTGACGATGTGCCCAGTCAGCAAATAGTTTTAAAAGACTTAAATTTACCTAGCAACCTTTCTTTAGCGGATCCCAACTTCCACACTCCATCTTCGGTGGATTTAATTATTGGTGCGGATGTGTTTTGGGATCTATTAGGGCTACGTAAAATTAGTTTAGGAGCCGGGAAGCCTGTGCTATTTGAATCTAGTCTAGGGTGGCTAGTTTCAGGCCCTTTTTATAATGGTGGTCAAGCACGCTCGACTTCTGACTTTAAGTCCAATTTTGTGTCGGTAAAATCAAATAATTATGTTTCTTCGTGCAATGATTCCAGTGATGACATTCAAACCCTATTAACGCGGTTTTGGCACCTCGAGGAGGTCAGCCCTCAGTCTTCATCTTTCTCCAAAGAAGAGAAAATGTGCGAAGAACATTTCATTAAAAATACATCTCGTCAGTCAGACGGTCGGTTCTGTGTCAGGTTGCCACTGACACAGTCACCTGATGTATTAAGCGGCTCGCTGCAGCGCGCCAAACATTGTTTATTTTCTCTTGAGAGAAAATTCAAAGGGCAACCCGAGTTTAGAAATAATTATATTAAATTTATGTCCGAATGTTTATTTTATCCGCTAGGTTTCTCAGCTCCCTGCATTATTTCCATTAAAATATTAAAGCAAAGATTATGGCTTCTTAAGCTTTCGAGGGACGACCCACTGCCTATTGAAATTATTAAATCATGGCAAATAATAGCAGACATCTTGCCCCTACTAAGTTCTTTACGAGTTCCTCGTCTTATACTTTGCAATCGTTACGACTCAATTGACTTGCATAATTTTTGTGACGCATCGCAAGCAGCCTACGGTGCATGTTTTTACGTTCGCAGCACGAGTTATAATGCTGTTTTGGTGCGGTTGCTTTCAGCTAAAAGTCGCGTGGCGCCTATAAAGCCCACCACGATCCCGAGACTCGAGCTGTGCGCTGCGCTCGTTGGAGGTCGCCTGTACAAAAAGGTGTTGAGTTCTCTGCGAGTGCAAGTAAGATCAGTAACCTTTTGGACAGACTCCACTATCGTCTTAGGCTGGTTAAAAATGTTGCCAAGTAAACTGCAACCATTTGTGCGCAACCGTGTAGCCGAGATAGTAGATAAGACCAGTTCGCACGCTTGGCGTCATGTCCCTACTGACTTAAACCCAGCAGATTACGTCTCGCGCAGCGTCACCATTGATAAAATTAACAATCTCGATATGTGGTGGTCAGGCCCTCAGTTTTTAAAAAATAATATTTCTTCTTGGCCAAGGAATACAACGCTGAATGAGCGATTACCTGAAACGCGCACTGAAATTACTTTAATTCTTAATAACTCAAATATGGCTTTAATTAATTTCGAACGTTTTTCTAAATTTATAAGATTACAGCGCACTGTGGCTTATGTTTTAAGATTTATTAATATTTTCAAAAAACAGCGTCCATCAACACATTTTTTGAATAATGATGAACTTCAAAATTCTTTAAATGTTTTATTAAAATTATCACAAGTCGAGTCATTTCATGAATAAAATATTATATTGCAAAATAAGCGCTTGCCCGCAAAGAATCAACTTTTAAAATTTAGTCCATTTTTAGACAATAACAATGTAATGCGGGTCGGCGGTCGATTAGATAATTCATTGTTTTCTTATGAAAGGAAGCATCCTATTTTATTACAGTCCACTCATCATTGAACAAAATTAATGTTTGAATATATGCATGTAAAACTTTTACATGCTGGCCCTCGTTTATTATTGAGTTCATTGAGAGAAACTTACTGTCCAATCGGTGGTTTAAATTTAGCTAAACGAACTTTTCGTAATTGTCATTTATGTTGTAGATTTAAAGGAAAGGTAGTGAATCCTATAATGGGTAACTTGCCGCAGCGACGTGTGACAGCGAGTGGTTATCCCTTCGAGACCGTCGGAGTCGACTACGCCGGACCCATCATGTCAGCCAGTCGTCAAGGTCGCGGCTGCAAACTTGTCAAAGTTTATATTATTGTTTTCGTGTGTTTCGCAACTAAAGCCATGCACATTGAGTTAGTAGGTGATTTGACTAGTAATAATTTTATGTCGGCTCTTCGTCGTTTTATGTCACGTCGCGGCAAACCTAAACACATTTATTTCGACAACGGGACCTCATTCGTAGGTGCGTATAATGAAATCGGTCGTTTTATTAAAAGCAGTCTCAATTCGCTACCTGGTGACCTCGCTCCTGACTGCATTAATTTTCACTTTTTACCTCCTCACGCCCCTCATTTCGGTGGTCTATGGGAAGCAGGCGTTAAATCTGTAAAGTTCCATCTTAAAAGAATTCTTGGCAATTGTAACCTCACATACGAGGAATTAAACACTGTGCTGGTCCAAATCGAAGCAGTTCTCAACTCTCGTCCGCTTACGCCACTCGCAGCAGATCCTAGCGACCTGCTGCCGTTGACGCCGGGACATTTCCTCATCGGCCGCCCTCTCACTGCGCTGCCGGCTGACTGCTACGAGCACCATGCCACTGGAAGACTGAGCCGATATCAACACCTGGAGCACCTCCGCCAACACTTCTGGCGCAGATGGAGCAAGGAGTATATCTCAGAACTTCAGTTGAGGACGAAATGGCGCTCTAATCTCAACCCATTGCAGGAAGGTGTTCTGGTCATCCTGAAGGAAGACAGCCTGCCGCCGCTCAAATGGCGGCTGGGTCGAGTCGTGGCAGTCCATCCCGGAGCGGACGGAGTATCCCGCGTGGCCGATGTGCGGACTGCGACAGGTGTCGTGCGCCGCGCATTCAGCAAGATCTGCCCGCTGCCTCATGACGACAACTAGTTCTGTTGAAGGACGAGCCTTCAACGCCCGGGGGCATGTTGGCGCCAATTCGCCGATGCGCTGAGCGCCTGGAATTTTACTCGAGCAATGTTTTTTGATCAAGTAGGGAAGTACCCTACACAACCTAAGATTTTTAATTATGCTTCCCAATTTGAATGTTACCTCTTTAACCTGACTGTACTCGTTGAACGCTCGCCGAATAAACATCTCAATCCTCTCTGGCAACTATCATTTTAACCTTCCGTAGTTTTCGGCCTAATAACTTTCACAATGTCTTTACAGATGCGTCGACCAGCTACCTCCACACCGCCCTGTCTTCGGCTTATCGGATCAGCGGGTAGTCGACCCATGACAGCAGTTATTAGGCCAATAAATTGTTGGAAAGAGAAAATATGACAGAAAAATAGTGTACAAAATCAGTAATTACCTTAATAGCAACAATAAAAGAAAAAAAAAACTATGTCTTTCCAAGCTTAAAGTCTAAGCAACTGTATACTTGGGCATAATTAATCAAGCATTCAACTCACGAACAATTCGTAGACGCTACCATTGAGTTGTGCCGCTCGCAAATGGAACTAATCACTTAATGCACCTACGTTCATTGCAAAGTTTTGCAACTCTGAAATATTGTAAAGTTTAGCAACGAGTTTGCTTATTGTTTCCCGTCTTACTATCGACGCTGTCGATTTGTTTTCATTTACACTTGAAATTTATTATAAATATTTTAATTATGACAAGTCTGAAATAAGGAAGATTTAACACTAACAAATTATAGCAAATATGGTAACCACAATTATGTACAAAAAACAGTACTCTTAAATTAAAAAAAACAAATGTAACTCTGACTTTTTTAACTCTGTAAGTTTCTTACAAGTATGGTTTCCTAAGTAATACGAAAAACGAATTTTTAGTTCACTAACATTTTTTCAACACTAATTTTAAAATAACTTGTTTCAGAAGAATTAAAAAAAATATTCATATTTTTATAATTTAAAATTGCACTTATGTCGAAATAAAATTTAGCTTAGATTTTATAACGTGAGAGCAAATGGTAAGGGATATCAATATAAAAATATCTTCGAGACAAATCTCAACATCGTATGCGAGTCCCCGGCTGTTACTTGACAACTCTTCAAAGAACGGTAATACCATAAAACGGCAATATTTTACAGAGCTCTTTGGAAATTCAACATAAGTACTCAAATACAATAAGAACAATTTCCAATCATATTTACAATGCGCAGATTATTAACTTATGTTTAAAAAGTTTAATATACTTAGCACAACAAATAATATTTGAATATTTCTTCTAGAGGCCAGGGAGGAGTGGCGGCGCTTTGTGAAGCAGGTGATACTTGATTACCACGACCAGTCTGAAAAGACTGCAACGTCGAAGAATGTAGAATATTAAATAAGAAGTTCACTTAATTGCAATTCATAAAATACTCGTATGACGTCATAGCAATAAATTAAGAATTACAAGAAAATTTATTATTGAAAAAAAAAATAGCAATTTTATTTATCTACTAGTTTTAGCAAAATATGATTTTGTGTAATTATATTTATACTTATCCAGTAAAGTATATCAAATTATGTAGAGCTCGTGAGCGGGCACCATTAAAATGCGATAAAGGATCACCCTGTATACGCGTGTATGTATGACAATTCAATTTGTGCCCCAATAATATCGGCTTACAAATAATGGACAAAGAAATCCGACGGTCGTGAGCAACCTTCACATGATTGTTCAAACTGGGCGACGCTGAATTATTTCTTACATTTTCCTTTCCAATGGTTTAATTTTTTTATTAAAATAACTACAACGATTTTTTTATACAAGATTGACTTTTGTAACGTTTTTTGCTCCCTCCGCACGGAATTAAAAATAAAAATTAATGAGTAGCCTATGTGAGCCAGACTATGCTCTACATCTGTGCCAAATATCATCAAATCCGTTGAACCGTTCGAGAGATACCTTCAAACAAACATCCATCCATCCATCCATCTATCCATCTAAACATTCGCATTTATAATATTAGTAAGAAGTAAGATATTCATTGTCTTCGTTTTGTAATACCTGATTAACGTTACTACGTTACGTTACGTTACGTTACGTTTCGTTACGTTACGTCTGGTTACGTTACGTTTCGTTACGTTACGAATTTTATAATAAACATTTTTATTAACAATAAATCTATGAATCATAGTTAAAACTTCAATAGCCTTGATTAGTAATATAGCATTGTTGAAAGTCTCTGTTAATATTAAAGCTAAAAAAAAAATCGTAGCAACCCAATATGAACACGCTGCGTGGATTCCCATAATAACACCGCCACCCGAGACGTATCAAAGCATAAACTTGGGGCAGTAAATTGCACCTCGCCGCACGAATAATAAAAGAAAAGAAAAAAAGAAAGGTCCTTTTTCACATGACCATCGGACATGCGATTTTGTCACGTATGTGTTGCTACTCAGTATTTGTTGAAATAAATTTGACAGAGACGACATAAAAGAAATGAATTTCTCAAAAACATTTTTATTTTCGTTTTAAATTGGCATTAGTAAGAAAAAGTATAGAAATAGTAATACGTTCAGAGTGGTGGTAAAGGAGATTTAATTATTATTATTACACTCTTTAATATTTCAGTCTACATTTTAAGTTCTTTTATATTCATGTTTTATATTTTTATACTTAAGTTAGAAATGTTGCATGTAGAGAAAAGTAAACACTAAAATCTACATATTTAACCTAATAAAAAGCCTACCTAAGCCATTTACATCTTACTAATATTATAAATGAGAAAATTGAGATAGATGTATGTTTGTCAGAAGGGGTCTACTGAACGGCTAAACGGATCTTGTTGAAATTTGGCAGAGATACAGAACACAGTCTGGTCGTCCAGGGCATCAAAATAGGCCATTTACTAAGTTTTTTAATTCCGCACGGACGTATTCATGGGCGACGGTTAGTAATTAATAAAAATTAACACTTGAACAAATAAACATAAAACATTTTAATGAACGTAATCACCACGTATTCCAATTCTAAAATTCCTATCTTGATTCTATGAATTTCCCAACAGCTATAAACCTCTTCGAATGTGAGTTACCTCGGGTAACGAGAATCTCGAAGCTCTTCCCATAAACTGTCCGGTCTGTTTAAATGCCGTTTAATGTCTGCACCGTTAGCTTTGCCCAATCCGCTTAATTGAGAATGATTTCAACGAGCTTTAATGGCCAATATATGAGCATAAGTAATGTTTGTACAGCGCTTTATTTGTTTGCCACTGAGACACTGGGTTTCGGTTTTACGAGCGCGATAATTTCGAATACGTTCAAATATAAACTTCAGGTAAGGAAGGCATAATTGTAAACTGGTTTTATATTTAGAGTCAAGACATTTATATTTCATTGATGAATGAATTTAAGATTTTAAACTAGAAAAAAAAACTTTGTTTTTATCCAAGAAGTTAACTATTGTATAAAAAGTAACAAATTGTCACTTTCAAAGGACAAGACGTTTTTAATTATATAATCAAATTTAAGTTGAAAGTAACAAATTACACTACGTTGATTTTACAGCGAAATATCTGGCAAACACGAACAGTAACAACCTTAATCAATTTAAAACTATCAAAAGAAGCTACAAGACAACGTATTAAAGGAGATAAATCACAACATCCTGGCAAGCGAAGAAACGGAGCCCGCTTCTGAGATGCTATTTGTCACTATGACGTGACGTAGCACATGTGTAGCAACGTAGCGCTTCGTAGCAGCTCAGCGTAGCTTGTAGTGCATGAATCATGTCTACGGTTCTACGATATTTGCTCAGGAAATTTGTTAACAGGAAGTGTAAGTGTGTTTTTAGAAATATTACGTTTGTCTCTAAAGTTACACGATATTATAAATATACACTTCGAAAGCCTTTTTTGTAATCTACGTACTTACTAGTACATTAGAAATTTTATTTACCTACAATAAATAGAAAATAAAGTGCTACGTTTATCTTTCTAGTCAAAATATTTACAACATAAACAATAAGTAAAGTTTCGAAGTACATTAACATTAAAATTAAGAAAACCCCCTTCGTGTTACTCCGCGATCCCTTAATCACCAATAAAAGTTGTCTGTTTTGACGTCAAGATAAAACGCACCGACATTAACTTGGCAACATTAAGTTGCGTTTACAACTCGTCACTTCGCGACTTCACTCATTGCTTAGATGTAAACTTAATGAGTACTGTTTAGATGATTAAAATTTAGACGCAGATGCATTACATTAAAACATGCTGTTTATTATTTTAACACTAGCTAATACTCGCCACTCCGTTCGCGCGGAAAAAAAAATCTCAAGTGTCTTCTACCAGGCTATGTTCTGCATCTATACCAAATTACAGCGAGATAGATGGAGCCGTTCTGTATATACATTGTAACAAACATCCATCTAACCAAACATTAATATAATATTAGTTAAATTCATCATCATCAACTCACTATAACTACCCACCGAGGGGCTGGCAGCCTCTCCTAATGTAGAGGTGACTAGGCCATAGTCAACTACGCTGGCCAAGTGCGGGTTGGTTGACTTCACACATATCTTTGAATTTCTTCTCACATATGAGTAGGTTGCATCACCATGTTTTCCTTCACCGTAAGAACATCTGTTAAATGTACATATGTAAATCGGAAATAGAAAAACACATTGGTACATGGTGGGATTCGAACCAATGACCTGCTGATTGCAAGTCAAGTGTTGAAACCCCTGAGCCATCGACGCTCTTAGTAAAATTAAAACATGATATAAAAAGAAAATCCAAAGAGATCATATTATATGATTTGTGTTCAATAAATTCTAAATTTAAGCTACTTCTAACCCGAAACTGATTTTCAAAGGTATCCGTAAATGATCTTGTTAACAAATGATGGTAAGGATAAATATTATTTATGCTTAGAGCTAATTACTAAGACCAGATTCCGTGATGCGTAATAGTAATTAAAGCAGAATCATATTAGTTACGGAGACCTATAATCATTTTAAGACACATCTTATTGCGAGTGTCGAAGTTATATGGCTGACAACAGGAAACACATTAGCACTTACGCGTCGCGTAAACTGAAATTTACGTGCGTGTAAACGTTACGCGTTAATCCGCGGCAACATAAAACGCGCGTTTGCGTTATCTCGCACGCG